TAGATGGGTAGGTAGATAGACGGGTAGGTAGATAGACAGGTAGGTAGGTAGATAGGTAGGTAGATAGGTAGGTAGGTAGGTAGATAGGTAGATGGGTAGGTAGATAGACGGGTAGGTAGATAGACAGGTAGGTAGGTAGATAGGTAGGTAGATAGGTAGATAGGTAGGTAGGTAGGTAGGTAGGTAGATAGGTAGATGGGTAGGTAGATAGACGGGTAGGTAGATAGACGGGTAGGTAGATAGACGGGTAGGTAGATAGGTAGGTAGATAGATGGGTAGGTAGATAGACGGGTAGGTAGATAGACGGGTAGGTAGATAGACAGGTAGATAGGTAGGTAGATAGGTAGGTAGATAGGTAGATAGGTAGGTAGATAGGTAGGTAGGTAGGTAGGTAGATAGGTAGACGGGTAGGTAGATAGACGGGTAGGTAGATAGACGGGTAGGTAGATAGACGGGTAGGTAGGTAGGTAGATGGGTAGGTAGATAGACGGGTAGGTAGATAGACGGGTAGGTAGATAGACGGGTAGGTAGATAGGTAGGTAGATAGGTAGATAGGTAGGTAGATAGGTAGGTAGATAGGGTCACCGTACCTAGATGCCAACAGCTTCCCTGAATATGATTATATTGATTTCTAAGCTAGCCAGCCCTGTGAAGATTGAGGTGACAGAGTGCCTTTCTCCCGGCAGGGCTTGAAGAAGACCAGCGCCGTGATGGATGAAGAGTTTCCCCGTACAGCCCTCAGCATCAACAACAGAAACGAGCTCCGAAGTGTTTTGCATCTCCAGTCTCTGTACAAACAAAACAAGGTAAGCAGGACGGCATCTTCTGGACGAGGTCTCTGGAAGTTACAAGCGGGACTCTTGACGGGGCAACCTGTTTGGGTGGCACCTCGGGTGGACTCATAGCATGGTGCAGTTGGGAGGGAGCACAAGGGTCATCTCTTCTAACCCTCTGCCACGTGCAAGAACAGCGAATGACACCATCCACGGGAGTGGGCTTTCAGCTTCTTTCTTCTTAAAAATCTCCAACGATGGAGAACCCACGACCTCCGTGGCTGGATTGTCCCACCGTTGTACGTACGGTTCGCAGTCTCAGGAAGCGTTTCCTGAAGTGGGAACAAAATCTAGGTAGCGGCACGTTACGTCCACTCTACGCTCTTATTTCTTAGCTGGGCTGGGTCCTGCCTAGTGAAATGTTGAACCATACTTCAAAACATCAACAGGTTATGGATGGTGGCTAAAAGCTAACCTGGCTACCAGCAGGATCAGGAAATTAGAATCAAAGGACCCTGAAAACAGAGGTCAGGGTTGCCAGATTTTGGGAGTGGATCAAGATTGAGGTTTACGTTAGCCTTGGGGAAAGCGGGAGAAGAAGGGGGAATAACTAATCTGTGGCAGGAAAAGCTATGGCAACATCTTTAAATCTACAGGTAGTCCTCAAGTTACGTCCATTTGTTCAGTGACTGTTCAAAGTTACGGCAGTGCTGGAAAAATGGACTTACAACCGGTCCTCAAAGTTGTGGCTGTTGCAGCGTCCCTGTGGTCACGTGATTGCAATTTGGGGGCTTGGTAACTGGCTCACACTTATGACAGTTGCAGCAGCCCATGGTCACGTGATCGCCATTAGCGACTTTCAATGGGGAAGCTGGCAAAGTTGGAAGTCACTCCTGCAACTCACTCCTGCCACTTTTTCTCCTGAGGAGCCCCTGGGCAACGGGTATCTGTACTCTGTCCTGCCCATCCGCCCGCTGCTTCTTGCGAAGCGGACTTCCCCCCCCAAAATTTTATTTACAAATTACAAGAAGAAAATGAGAAAACACCTAGATCCCCTAAAGAAACCACACACAATTAACAAAACAATCTTTAAAGAGGAAAAAAAATAGAAACTCACACCCACAACCCCAAAGAAAGGAAGAAAGAAAAAAAGAAAATAAATTCTTCCTTATAGTTCTACCTATCAGTAGTCGCTGGTTTGCACTGCTATAATGTCATCAGTACAAAATATTTTTGTAAAATATCAGAAAGCAGAATCAGAAGCAAACCTGCCCACTTCGGGGAGAAGAACACGTAAGCTAGAAATCAGCTGCTTTATCTTTTGCAAATGGTGAAACCGGGTCAGCCGAACCCTGACTGCCCACTAATCTTGTTTCTTCCTCTGCAGGCAAAAGAGACTCCTTTAAAAACCATTCTGGAAATCATTGCTAGCTACTTTCTGGAGCATCCGAGTAACCAGAGCTTCAGGGGAAGCACGTCGTTCCCTGAAAATAAACTCTCCCCGACAAGAACCGCGGAGAATTTTGTCCTTAAGAATGTTGTCTCTGAAGAAGCCGCTCCAGGGCAGACAGCGCCCGAAAAAGCCAAAAAGGGGGCTCCCAGGTATTTGCAACTTTCACCGTTTGATCCTAAATCTTTCGATGGCAGCCGTTCACCGATCGCTACGTGTTATGGGTAACGTTGATAATTTATCGGTTTTATCTAACCGCTTTGCGATAAAGCGGTTGCCTGAGCCCTGAAGAAGCTGGAGGGCCATCTCACTGGAGGTTTTCAGGAAAAAGCCACTTGTACGGGATGGTAGGATGACGACTGTGCTGGGCCAGGGGTCAGACTAGATGACCTCAAAGATCCCTTTCAACCGATGATGTTACGAATTAAATATTCATCACTGGCCAAACCTATTTCTCCCCAAATACCACTGTCAAATGGTTAAGAGATAAACCTATCTGGTTTGTTCCAGTCATTCATACCCAGGACAGAGACTGTGATCCCCAACCCGGCAGTGCAGAAATGGTTCACTTTGTCTTTGCCAGCTCTAAAAAGCATCATTTTGTATTTAGATGGTTTAATTGCAGGGTTTGGAAGCTGTTCCAGCCCCTAGCAGGCCCATTCAGGCCCCTCTACTTAAAAATAAATCAAAATACAATCTTCACCCCCAACGCTTGCCCAAAGAATCGCTTTTCGGTAAGATGGGCGGCTGTATTCCGTATTTTATATGGTATTTTTAATTAATTTTATCATCTCTGTAAACCGCCCAGAGTCGCTTTTTAAAGAGACGGGTGGTGACCATTTCAACATATAAATGAACAAAATAAGTAAATATAAATATGATAAGTATATAAAGAGGAACGTGTGCGAACACAGCTAGAGTTCTGCAATCGATCAGCACGATTGCTTTAAAAAGCCAACTTCCTGGAACAAACACTTTAATAAGCAGTCAGCATTTTTTATTTTCTTTGCAATCGCTGAAAAGCTGGGGGCTTGTTTCGGGAGCGATCTGCCTTTTTGTCAAATGTGTGAATCGGAAGAGGCGCTACCAAACTCCTTCTGAATTTCCACCTGGCTAACGCACGTTCAGCGGCCTTCCTAAAGCTTATGCGAAAGATTACGGTGGCCGGATTAAAGTCTTCGAAGACACACGCTGCAGAGGAAGGAAACGAACGGGAGGCGTGATAAAACATCATGCCCAAGGTGTATTTTTCAAATGCTGATGGCTTTGAACCGCTTTGGTCTTTGTGGCTTAAGTCTCGACAATGCGCGGATGGTCATATAAACACTCAGAACTGAGATCTATAGGCCCATCCTTAGTGTAAGCCAGTGTTTCTCAACCTCAGGAACTTGAAGATGTGTGGACTTCAACTCCCAGAATTCCCCAGCCAGCCATGC